GGGTCCTATGTTATATACATATATATATATATATATATATATATATATATATATATATATATATATATATGCTAACAACAGGGTTTACTTAATTCGTTTTGGAACATTTGATTTATTCACTAGCGACTAATTTCGATATGACTTCCTAAAGTTTTAGTGAGTTGCGAATAATTAACTGCGAGATTAATACAGAAGTGAAGCAAATATACAAACTAATAAAATTTCATGGTGATAATATCGCGAGTCGGTTAAAGTTAAGAAAGTAGGCTACGCTAAACGCTAAATTAATGGTCTAAAAGCAACAAGATCGACACAAGATCGGAATATTCAATTCCTCGTTAATGGGGGAGTGGATTTGTTTTTCTGAAAAGTCCTACATTAGAATCAGATAGATATTCAGTACCTCCTGACTAAAAACTAGCATCATTTTCGGAATAGGTGAATGTTGTATTTATCTAGTCCTTATTGATGACCGGATTCCGTCGAACAAGTTACAATATGGTCACCAGTCTATGTAACTCAATAACGCATTCACTACGCCTCAGTGTTAGATGGTTTGAAGTAGTAGGAAGGAAACCTCCCGGGATTGACCACCATTCAGCGATCAATCAATTGTAAATATTTTAGTTACGACTCGAATATCTTAGTGGCAACATCTTAAATAATAAAACTAGGTGGCACGCGTTCGAGTAGACACAAGTCTCTTTAAGATTAAATGTATGTCTTCCTAACCAGTGTCAACTAGCACGAAACCTGGGTAGGGTAAAGCTTCCGTATGGTGACCTTCAACCACCGAACAGGTGAATTTTAGCAAGTTAAAACTTAACTAATTAGACAGCTGAAGAATCATAGATTAACTTAACTCACAAAATGACACACCCAACCATGACATACTATGTATCTTGTTCCAAAAAAAATATTTCGGTATTATTATAATATTCTTTATAGGATTTCCGTCAAACATCTGCTGTTCTATAACTAATAACTTTATTATTACTATTATTCCCATAACTAAAAGGATAGTATTTCAAGAACAAACGAACAGGCATATATGGCACGTAGGGATATATATATATATAAATATGGGTTGACTCATACTCTCGTAGGTTTCTAAACCAGTGAAGTTATTTAATGTTAGTCTTTCAATTGATTCAAGTGTATCTTATGACAAGAATAATGAAAGTATAATATACTTATCATATAGAGGAATGAGTTTTGAACTGTTTAATAAAACGTAACTATCTAGCGTTGACACTGATTAGATTGATGAAGTTAAGTAACATCTATTGGGAGACAATACTTTTCTTACCAGTGTAGAAGCAGTTCAACTTAGTACAGTTTGGAATAATATATCAAGATAGAAATTAAACAGATAGAAAGTTAAGAGCTTTGGTTTAGTGATTAAAGTGTACATTTTTCAACCAATAAATGACAATTTTGAATCTCACTTTAGGCGGTTGAGTATTATCACTAGTCAACAAACAAACAGTATGGCTTAAATTTGGGTGTATTAGTATAAACTTGGTTAATGAGTTACATGAATATCAACTGGTTTGGGATGAAAATTAACAAAATAAATCATGGAGAATAATTAAGGCGGGTTGAGTGACAAAATCAATGAATAATAAATTATGAAGTAGGTAAACAAGATAAGATAGCGAATGTATTCATATAACGCAAACTGACTTATTACCAAGTTATTGATAGTCATTTCAATGTCAAATGAATCGCAAACAATACGTGTATGGAATTAAGTAAGTTTTAATCAAAAGACACTATTTCCAAAGGCACCAAGGTAACTTACTATACACGTAATAAAACAAATTCAATATTACTCTTTTTTAATAAGATACAATCGTAAAACATGATCAATGAGGATACATCTGGTTAGTTATCTTAACTACATTAAAAATATTGAAATAAAAGGGAATAGACAGTTTTATGGAACCACCTCTCTTGTTGTACGATTCAATGAACGTATCATTGTTTGGCAACGATGTGAAAAATAGCTGGCAATTATAGGAAAGTGCTTCATTATTACGAATTCAGTTAGCTAGTAATTTTTATATTTCTACATTTTCATCTGTATGGTATGTAAGGTCTGACTTAATGAGAATTTACCTACACTACTTACTTTTATCTTGTATTACCAAAATACTGACAGTATGTTTTCCCTTGGGGCTGCATCGCTCAGTACCTTGAAATACAGTGATATACAATAAGCCAACTCAATTGTCATCGACCGTAGCTGCTACCCTGACGTGATAGTCAGGCATGGCTGTCATTAAGAGGCAGTTAGTCAGTCAGTCAGTTACAACGTAGGACCAGGCACATATGTGCATCGGTCCAAGTTGCCACACTTCATTAGCACAGCAAGATGAACACCTAATTCATAGAAGCAATTAACTCAATGGTGTAATATATAAAGGAAAGACTGCATATAAGGATATAGTACAGGAAGGAAGAATCAGTTCGTAGAAAGAAAGATATGAAGCGATTTTAATCTCATAGTTTAAGGGAAGACAGACAGTGTATACACCGACGCCATTGTGATCGATTCCGAGCCATGTCACTAAGAGTTTCCAACCATTGGCTACGACAGTCACGCGAACCCTAACCAAGTGGTCTGCATCTACCAACATGGCTGAGACTAGAGGTTAGTGTCTTCAAGCACTGGTGCCACGTTTTGGTTTGGCCGCCCCTGATTCTCTTCCAACCATCTCTAACACCCGTTAGCATTGCACTTCGTGGTAATCGGTGTTCAGGCATACGTAACACGTGGCCCAACCATCTCAGTCGATGAAGATTAACAACCTCATCAACTGATTTACCATCATTACCTAATACCCTGCGTCTAACCTCACTATTACTTACCCGGTGATCCCAGCAGACGCCAGCAATATTTCTAAGGCATCTGTGGTCAAATACTAGTAGCTTACGAGTGTCTTCTACTCTTAATGGCCATGTTTCGCTGCCGTAAATTAAAACAGAACGGACTGCCGCGCAGTATACTCTCCCCTTTATTGACAGACGGATATCTTGCCTTCGCCAAAGGTGACGTAAGTTGGCAAAAGCCAAACGAGCTTTTCGAATCCGTGCTGAGATTTCGTCAGACACCAACCCATTAGGGCTGATCAGACTTCCAAGATAAGTGAAGTTGTCGACGCGTTCGACTACTTCACTCCCTATCCTTAGTTCAGGTGTTGACGCAGGCCAGTCCTGAAGCAACAACTTGCATTTAGAGGGAGAGAAGCGCATTCCAAACATTCTGGCATTGTTGCTTAGTGCTACCAAAAGACTCTGCATTTTGTCAGCGTCTTCATCAAACAGGACTATGTCGTCTGCGTATTCTAAGTCGATAAGTGGACCTCCTGGAAGGAGCCCAATACCCGAGAATTCAGTCGACGAGAACTTTATTCCCATCAGTAGGTCTATGACGAAGTTGAAGAAAAATGGAGAAAGTGGACAGCTTGGACGTACACCACTTGAGGTTGAAATAGAGCCATATTGTCTGAGACATTCGTTCCTCTAGGCCCTACAGTACAGACAGGTCAGTTGGAGAACGCTAAAACTAAGGGTGGTAAACTCATGATTCGATGGCGAAATCATACTGTTGACTGTAAAGAGGTATGATAGGAGTAAGGTATTATGCTCACGTAGCCGACACCTCCAGATAAGCTACCTTCCCACAACGGAAGGAGAGGGTTAGTAAAGGTTGACCATGAAGATAGCACACCTCACCTTCATGAATATTCGTTGCACATGGTAAGGTTTTAAATATATGCAGTCAATATACCAACGACTTTTGATAAAAAGACCGTGAGTGACCGGTCATAAGCAGTTGTCTCTTGGGCTCTAGGGTCACACCGTGGTATATGCTACTTATGCTGGCAGATATAAGTAGTATGTAGCATCAGTCGGAAGTGGAATGCCTGGCAGCAGATGATTGAAATGAAGAGAACAGTAGGAAATCGAAGAGCAGCCAAAATAACAATAGAATCAGAAGAATAATGGAGAATGTAAAAGACAACAAAAAGAAGATGCGCAATTTATATACTTATTGTATGACTTTTATATTTTACTGAGCCACTTGGTAATTTCGCATCAAATAATAAATTGGTTTTTTCCACCAAGTCTCTTTTCACTACAACACTGCCACGTTGTCAACCTCAGAACTAACGGAGTGCCCTTTCACAGTGTGTACAACCAGGAAGTGATATCTCCTCACATACCTCTAACTGTATTCGAAATTGAATCGTTATTTTGCCAGATAATAACCAGCAGATTAACTTCGAGTAATTTGTGTGATGAGTATGCATCTTTGATGTACGTATAAAAATGACTAATTGCAAGATTCATAAAACGTTCTATTCTGGCTTGTAGCTGCGTCAACAAAGTTTGGCTCATTCACATGTTGGACTTGACTACTCCACACGAACAAAGTCTTGATCATGTTCACGTGAGCTCATTAAATTACACAACATAAAACACCAGTATTTTCAGATCCCAACTTAACAAGATCAATCGAGCAGCACAAAATATTGGACATTAAAAGCCAAACTAAATGATTTTACGCCTATCGAGTGTGTAAAATTGAATGTGTTGTTCCGATTTACAGGTTTTCTTTAGTGTTTACAGTCAATTATAGCAATAGAAAGTTATAAAATCGCAATTCACTTCAGATACTTGTTTGGTTCAATCGAGGATAATATCTGGTTTGAATAAAGAGATAAACTGAAGTCCACTACAAGCATATATACGTAAATTACTTCGGAGTCGTTCATTTCCAGACTGAAATAAACCATACATACAAATGCTAACAGTTGATAGGTGTATATTTGAATGTAAATAGGTATCCGTATCCGTAATACAATACTCCACTGACATAATCTATCAAAACCTATTGAAACTAAGCTCTTTGTAAACTTTAAATTGGACATAATAATAATAATAATAATAATAATAATAATAATAATAATAATAATAATAATAATGCTCACCATTTGAGTTACCATAAATGCATGTTTAAAATTATGAAATGGTACATTGTTATATCGTGAATAAGTTGAAAACAACCAATTTTCAAGTGTATCAGTAGAGAAATGACATAATTCCGGTAGATTTAAATCCACAAACATAAATTTAACAAAATTAATTAATTCAGCGTCTGAATATAACCAATTGTTAAATGAATGAGATTTTAACTGTTCTTTTATAGATGAAGATATTGATTGAGATCTGTTATGATAGTTTCAAAAAAGATGAAAGATAAAAAAAATGATTTTATTACGTAACAATTTGAAAAGTTAAATATCTATATTAATTATCGGTTACTATGACCCCATGAACCAATGGAATCCAAAGAGCACTACTAAACAACATTTTCGTTTTATTATGAAAAGCCACAGTACTATTCACTAATTATCCCACAACGCACCAAAGTAAAATCTTTCAAATAGAAGGAAAACAACATTGATTTGCTTTTATGAACCTTTTGTGATCGACTATCAAATAATAATCGAGACAATGGATATCATGAACCGATCTAAGTTAGACAGCAGTTTCAAACCTTGAGGAACTGGAACGTCTTTTTTCGTTCCAGTATGAGATCGCTCTACAGTAAATATCCACGACTCCCCAGCCGAGGATCTAACCTAGGACCTGCAGTTTTCAGTTAGGAACAATTAACCTTCCACCCACTGCGCCATAATACAATGGTGTACAAACTTAACTTCATTTAACTCGTGATATTTCACAACCATCGGATAATTTATATTCACCACCTTAAGTAATCTTTTCCAGTCACTTTATTATATATTCTGTGTAGTTCGATGGTATACTCATATACCAAGTACAGATTCATGTACTCAGATTTGAGAAAAACTTAATGTGTGAGAGCCATCCGTGAAGTACAGGAAATCGTTCCCTAAAGTAACTTTTTAAATTTTCGACTAAAAAACAAAAATGTAGCAAAGCATGTAACGTTAAACTATATGTTACACAAGAGATGTATGTGATTTAGGCAACTGTATTATATCTACTAAGAATCGTCACTTAACGGATAATTATTAAACATATCATCTAAGGTTTGAGTCTCATAATTAGTTTATATTAAATCAGTCTTTTATGGATATATTAAAAGTAAGCCCTATTCTAGTAGTAAACTGTAGGTGGAATAATTAGAATTATTATAAATTATTATAAATCTCTTACATTACATAATAAATAGGAAGGATATTCGAGTTTTTAAAAGTTTATAAGATGATTGAATGGTTAACAGTTAAGAGTTCAGACTATTAAATTACTGATGGATGTTTTGAAACACATCGATTATAAGTACATATTAGAGATATTTTTTTAAAAAAAGGAATAACATTTTACCATAAAATCAACTTAAACACAAAATCACATAAAAGGAAACCTATATGAACATGTAGAAATAACTTACCGAATAGCCAGAAATTGATTTCTAACTTTAGTAAAATGTACAAAAGGTAGTTTTATAATTTCTGGGTCAGGGCAGTAAGGATTGCAAGAGATTCTTTGACTATCATTAGGATGTTGAGTATTAATTAAATTGCATGTTTCATTACAATTGTTTGTTTTAAAAGGATTATCTACTAAACAAGTTTCTGTACTTTTACTTGCTTCAACATCACTGGTAGTTGAGATCTTAGATGAAGAAGAGATGGTTGAAAATAACCACGCAGTACATTTGGTTGGTAAGTGAATTTTATTATTATTTGTACCATCTTTACTGGGTGGTGTACGAGATGATTTCACATGACAACGAATTAATCGTTTAAACATCTATAGATGTAATTGTGAAAAATCAGATAAGAAAAGAAACAATTTATAATGGATTTATATAATTAATATGAAGTAAATAATAAAACAAAATTATATCTTCAATAACTAGCGAAATATGTATGTGTAGGAAAAGGAAACTAAGTTCTGTTAAATTATTTAGAGATAATTCCAGGAATTTCAGTGAAAAGCCATAACCAGCGGAGTTTAAAAATGTCTGATGTTAAGCAGGTTACCTACCAATGACATTGAAAAGTAGCAGTAGTATTGCAAATGGACTAAATTTAGACATGTCAATCACTAGTTGTCTGTTCAGTGGTTTTCAGTTTAAGTACTGACCACAAGATCTGGAAGTCCTGGATTCAATCCCTGATGGGATGTTTAATGTGTATTGCTGGAGAGTCCCATGCTACTACAAAATAGTTGCCCAGTGCTTCCTGCTTTTTAGTGACTATATAGCTAAGATCAATCTACGACGTAAAAAATAAATCCACTTTATTGTATAAATAAGTCATCAGAAATTATACAAAATTAGTAACTCGCTTTTGAGTCTTAATCGAATTCTCTTAATGACAAAACTTCATTTCGGTAGTTTATTCGGATTTGAGATAAAATGACCTTTCTTGGGAGTCATATATGGTTCGCAAGATAATCTAAAAGATGAGTTATTGAAGGCCATAAACGGGAAAAATTTGAAATTACTTTATGTAGACATAAAATTTTATATAAAATTATTAGAACTTGTTTCAATATATTATGCTGATTCGCACTTATTTTCACTAAATGAATTATATTAAATTTGAGTTAGACAACTGCATTCGTAAAGTTCTTCGTTAAAGCTTCATACGATCATTTTATGACAATTAAAAAGTTATCAGATCATTTAAACTACATTCTAATCTACTAATAGGCTCATTTGAGTCACTCCAAATAAGTTACTTATAACGCAATTTAAGAATCAATAAAACAGATGAAGCTACAAAACTGAATTCTTAACACTTTTAGACTACAGAGATAAGATGAATTGTTCACTGCCAAAACTAGTATCTTGGTTATAATATGGCGAACAAAATCTACAAAAGTTATAATACAGTTGAAAGAAACAAGAGGAGCATTTGATATTTTAATCTGAAATACAATATACAAAATGTTTTGACAATTTAAACGTCTTTTTCTACAGGAAAACATCAAGAAATCAGTTAAGCCTCATGTGCGCTAAATTTGAATAAAAGCTACTACCAGTTTAAAGCGATAATGCTCGGCGGAGTGTCTTTTAAAAGTAACAAGTGAGCAACGATTATTGTTTTCAATTAGATTGCCAGTTTTACCTCAATGTGTGTATGTATATACAAAAGACATTAAACCAACTGAGGAAATTTGTGAGATAATGATAAAAATGAAGAACTACTACGTAACTGATAATCACGAGCAAGATGTACAAATCGCAAATTATAACAGTAGATATAAGACTAATAAACATCGTGATATGGACGAATATAATTTGACATATGAATAAAGTCAAACCATGAAAACATAAACTTAGCGTAGTAACCATCAAATTAAACAGTATAGGGTGTGGGACTAGTAAATTTAAGTGGGGAGTTATCGAAGAAGCGAATAAACAAACAAAACGACGAGGAACTAGTAAGATCATCTATCAAGTTTTCCCAGCTCCAAGAAGTGACAAGCACTACAGGCTTCTTTCAGATACAAAGGTTATGATTGTTGGTCTAAATAATTTTACGCAAAAGATTAAATCAAACCTTATCGAGGAACATAGGAAGCATTTGTCTATTCACTTTGAATGTTTTAAATTTATAAATCAAACGACTACTGTTGACTATATGTGACGAGACAGCTACATTTGGAATTTCTTTAGAATTTTCTAAAACACGCAAAATGATGGCAGATTTTATGGTTGATTTTTTAAAAAAGTAAGCATGATATTGTGCTCTTCATAGGACGTTACGATAAACAAATATGTACAGAAATGACAAAAACAACAGATAGCTCTTACTTTAGGCAACTACTCTTAGTTGACTAGAAAGTGGTGAACAAAGAATATCTGTATAAAAATTCATCTTTACAGCTTCAATGAACTTGCCATGCAGGAAATCACCAGTTGTATTCCTAGTGGATGGTGGCCTCAGGTAAAGGGATTTATTATGAACAATCATAGTATCTGGTTTACAGTTTACTGGATTTATATTCTTTTCGAAAGCATATGGGTAACCTATTTCAACCAATATATCATATATAAAGTCTAGTTCTTCGTTTGTAATGTGGTTTGGACACGTCTCTTCATCTTCGCTTATAAGGGACATAATCAGGGTTTTTTATGAAACAAGTATGAAGCTAAAGAAATGTGTTGACATCCTGGTTCAAATCTTGGAACATCTATTTAAGTTAGTATCGTAAACAGCAGCGTCAGAGATATTCACCATTTCACTTCCGAAGTACAAGATATAAATGTGAGCAGGAGATATGTGATATCTCTAGATGTCACGCCTTCACTTACCACTGTATCACCGAGACAATTGGATGTGTGTTAACAAATATCAAGAAATAAGCCAGAATTGAAATTCCTGAGGAAAATGTTGGAAAACTTCGTGATGCTAAACAAGTGTTCATCCTTTTATTGATGAAACATACTATATAAAGATTTATGATATATAGATGGGATTATATTCAATTCCTTAACAGCTATATCAGATTATATTTTTAATAATTCACTTTACGTGATGCGTGTTTTGGAAAACGTTGTGATATACGAGATAATTGAATATCATGCGTACAATAGACATGAAATATATACATGTAAGATAGGAATAGATTACACTGAGTCCATGTCCTGTACAGTAGTAAGGTATAAATACCACAGTAGGCATGCAAATTGAGTTTAGTAGCATCAATATGCGATGACGTTTTCAAAAATAGTGGTTTCTATAGCTGACTGAAATAGTTCTAGTCTTTGGTAGCCTGACTATTGAATTTTTTACCAAAACTTATCCCTTATTGATCTTTGTTTTCCTGCTTACTTCTTTTTACATTATTATTGTGTTTACAACGCTCTATAGAAATATCCCGACTTATATAATGGTGCTAATAGTTCGGAATCGCAGACGGATAAAAAGAAATAAAACTGACGTCTTCTCTTTCATAATAAATCGTGATGTAATTCCAACACAATAAACAACCGATTGCAATGAAGTAATTATTATTAGCGCCAAATCGATAGGTTGACTTACCGTCAGTTGTCAGTATTGGCCTCGAACATGATTAAATGTCTTATTTTAAAAGAAAAGTCATAACAACTTATCTTTAAATATTACTGCCACGCATCGGGACTTATTGAACACAGGAATATACGACCTTCAAGTAACGACTTATGTATGTGGCGCTATTAGTCAAGGCCATAAATAACATCTAGTGTTTCCAATACTCTAAATATTTTAGTCACAAGTCATTATAAATCAACCATAACTCCGCAATGACAGCTCGATGCTAGCAAACAGCTATGAGTTTAAGGCACTTACCATTAAAGTTGGCTTATCTGCTTGAATACAGTAGTTAATTTGCTGAGTATTCTCCTACAAGATGACCACTTCCGAACACCATAATGTAATGTTTGTATGCAATATCGATTCATTCATACATAACTCCGTACTTGTTATGAATTCTCAATACAATAGGTTTAGTTGTGTTCGTCGTTCTCTGTCTGAATTAAATTGGTTTATTCTAGGATTCCTTAGTTCAAATACCAATTTGATTACATCTAACTATCATGCATAGGCAAAACTCTTTTTTCTGCGATGCAAGTTTATACCCCGTGGAGTTTTATGCCTACGTTTGGTCATAACAAAAACCTTAAAGTTCTGACGTGAAATTTTCTAAGAGAAGAGTGTTCATTTTTCCTTTTTTTATTCATCTGTTCTTATTGCACTTTAGATTCATAAGTTGTTTTGAGTACTCTTTGTAAACACGTTTCAAGTTGCTGGAGCATGCAGTGTGATGGCTACGACAAAAAGTAGGGCAGAATATGAACTGATTTGGCTCTACTGCTTAAAATAGGTAAAACAATTCAAAATCACTATGGATATGTGAACTATGTTCCCCCAAAATTGCTTTATTTAAGTATAGTGCTGATGATGTCTCAATTTACAACAAAATCCTCTAATGGCAACGCGATGTCTTTAGAAGACATGAGCTTGTTGGATGATACAGTATGTGTGATTTTCAACCTAGCTTAAAAATATAACAATATTCTAGTTGCAAAGTAATCTCTGTTTTGAACAATATGGTGCCTGTTGATACAGAAGTGAAGACTAAAACAAACCAAAATGCACAAAGCGAATCAGTCACAATTTGAGAAGTAATAATGGAAAAAAGGCCACAAACGCCTCACCATTATCAGATTAGGACTTTGTTAAACTTACACCATGACTCAGCTTTCTGAGATACGCAGGCGCCTTGGGGTGCCATTGTACTTTCACTAAGTGCACCAAAGCTTTCAGTTTGAAAGGTCAATAAGACATGGAATCAGTCCAAACCAATTGCAGACACGAATTCTGTAAACAACAAAGGTAGGAATTCAGACTTACGAGACACATGTAAGATCCATTTTGAATGTTTTGTTAGTGAAAATCCCTCCATATGAACACTTGCAATTTGTTCCTATTGATTCTTTTAGTTGTACAACTTGTTAGTCTTTTTGATTCATTATGAGATGGTAATATTTGTATTTTATTATAGTTATCATTTTTCTTACGCCTTCCCTAGTTTCCATGTTTCTTTCTGAACTTCATTTGTGTTGTTTTACTTGATACTTAGTCTTGGCGGCAGCCATATTGGTTTGTTCCTCATTTTGATTGCGTTGCTTGTATTGACTAGAATTGTGTATTTTAGATTGTGAATTGTGGCACTCTTCCAGACATGGAAACACTCTGTGTTATGAAGCAAGTAAATATTACCTTTTGAACGAATCTGTGAGCGGTCTATCCAGACAGGATAAAAAAGCATTTATTTGTTGTGATTGGTAATTTTCTCGCATCATTTATCAACTTCCTTATTTATTGTGATTTAGATTTGATTAATTGAACAATTAGTGGTTGTAAATAAATAATATATTTGTAAAATCCCAATGAGTAGAAAATTAGATCTTCTGACGTTTCGTGACTTAATGTAAGTCACTTCTTCAGAGAATAACTAACCAAATTAAAATTATTACAAGTTTAAATAGTACAACGGAACGATAAGAATAATATTTGGTCAAGCAAAAACAGGTCTGAACAAGTTAATGTCATGTCATTTCTGTCAAGATGATTCATAAGTAATAAGTATGTAAATTTGTGTGTGTATGTATGTGTGCATTGTTTAAGAATGAACACATGTGTGACCTATATGGTAAGAAAGGATAGAGTTTAAATTTGTAATATGAAAGTGTGAAATTGTAAATACGATCAGACTGAATGGTTAGGATAGATGGTCCAAGTAGAATGTATGGTAAGGCCTTCTTTTCTATTGAGAGAAGTAGGATTAAGCATTATATGGAACGCCTCGGCTACCCTCCTTTCTTTGTAGTTGGAAAAGCCTTTTTGCAATATTTTGATATTTTTGAAATCGATTTGGTGGTTGTTGAAAATGGCATGAACTGCTATTGCCGATTTAATTTGAAGTTGGTTCAATTCTACCGGATTGTTAGGAGGTTTCTTTGTGTACCTAATATGTTCTTTGGCTCTCGTCACGACTTCGCGCGATGACTCTCCAATATAATAGGCATCACAATCGATACAACCTAATTTGTAGACGCAGTTCTGTATGGACATGAACGGGATTTTTTCTTTTTAGGCGAACTAAAGCATTTCGTAGTGTATTCGTTGTTTTGTAATATACTTTAATTCTGTGATGTTTCGAAATTCTTTGAAGTCCTTCTTTTGTGCCATGACGGTATGGTAGAACTGTAGTAGCAATCCATAGCATTTCATTCGAATCAATATTATAACATACTAAACTGTCTTGTTTTAATATACTGCTAATAATCTTCATAGGAAAATTATTAAATTGTAAGATGCTAATTATATTCTTTTGTTCTGTTTGTTTGTCTTCCTTTGATGTAAAGATCTTGTTAGCTCTTCGAGAAAGATTTAATGCTAGCGAGATCTTAGCACTAAAAGGATGTGCTGAATGGATGTCAATATAACGATTTGAGTGCGTCGGTTTTCGGTAAATGGATAGATCCAGAATTCCATTTGGATTACTTTTTACTAAGCAATCCAGGAATGGTAACTCACCACGTTCATTTTCATTTTCATTCGTGAATTTGATATGCGAATAAAGTGTATTTATTCGTTTTGAAAAAGATCTTAGATGAGTCTTTCTTAGAACAACAAATGCATCGTCTACATAACCAAGCCAAGTTCGTGGTATAATGTTGTGGGATAAGTGTTCACATTTATCTAGGTAACAACGTGCGTTTGAATTCATGATGAATTTCAGAACCGTCATTTTATACAATCACTTTGTTTTGACTTCAATCAAGCAAAGGCGTCTATCTAACCCACCTAGACAGCTATCCTTCAGTCCAAACTTCAGTTTGGATCTTACTGCACATACCCCACGAAATCGACATCTTGGCTGTGTCGACAGATAAGGATTTGACAAAATAAAGTCACAAGATGACCGAAAAATACGAAATATCCGATCGATAAGTTTTCACTAGAAATCAGGGTTTCTGTCAGTATCCATAAGCAATCTAATGTTGACATTTCGCATAGGAAACGTTTTCTAGTAACACTTGACGCCTTCACAACAGAGAGTGGCCTGTATTTATTATGCGACCTTCACCGCTGTTCGCAGGAATTTTCACGGCTAGACAGAAGTTTTAGACATCATCTGATGACCATGTCTAACCGGACCGACGTGTTGTGCTGCAAGTTATCTATGACAAGCTGTTCACCAAATGTTGATTACTACTTCTTTTATAGCAACGCGGAATGATAAATCTGTGTCGCTCTGTGGTTGAGGTATCTGTAGCACTTGAATTCCGTAATTCACTTTAGGTTTCGTATTACCGTTGTGTGGCGCAATCCTTCTGTAATCAGCAGTATGTCTGTTGCATTAAATCTTAGAATCTAGTTACTCGTGCATCAAGCTCATCATCAAGGCTGCGAGTTTGAATAAATAATCTACCTACTTCTACCACATAAGTAATTTTAGAGTGTTTTCGTTTGTTTTAACACACCGCTTGTGTCTTTCAACTACATGAGTTATCCTGGCACGTATATAAAAAGTTCATTACGTATCGCACAACAACCTGTAAAAACGTACAATCGAGAATATTTTGGTGACTGACATTATGGAGATAAAATAATGAATGTTAATCTGATGTTGATGCTCAGACTGCTACATCTCAACTGTCGATCAATAGTCGGAAGGGTGGTCTATCTTCGATTCCTACTAAATCTGAATATGCATCTTAATTGTGGTGCAATCACAATTCAAGATCTCTGGTTGAATCATTTACACGATAACTGTTTAGTATCACTACACTGTTTCAATATAAATCGTCAAGACTATTCAATTAGAGACAGTGTGGCATGGATTGAGCAAAAAATGCGAACTGGTATAGGTCTTAGTTTTACATTACTAGACTGCTTTATATATTGACCGACCGTTCAAAAAACTTAAACAAGCACTATTATAATTATGTTACTAAAATCTACGTGACTCCAGACTGCCAAATGTCTGCACCGTCTGTTGTCGTTAAGGAATTCACCCAAATTTGTTATCAGTACCGTGAATCGTTCACTCCCAATTATATATTGCGATTTTTATCCATAACATTGTAGCTCTCTTTCGTAACTAACTCTCCAAAATAGAGACGAGCTTCAAGATTACGGTACAATCCCTGATAATAATTAAACACCTCGAAACGTCGCCGAAATGTAACAACCACTTGAAAGCATAGCCATCCGAGAGTAGGGTAGGGTCACGGGACACTTGTACAACTACTCCACACAGAAAATGGTGTATGTTTCCGTTTTGTTTCAATTTTCGAGTCCAAAAACTGACTGGTCGTATACTTATTTTTTACCGTGTCAAAAAGAAAAAAGATCTCTTTTTCTAGTACGCCTATATATAGTAATATATTGAAAGAATGTAAACAAACCTTTTTATATAAAACTTTTCACGCTATTACATAGTAAATACACGCATATGCGCCAAATTTTTTCCCGACATTTCGTTTTCTTGCTGAAATACGAGTACATTTCCACATTTTCATCTTTTTTAGAACGACTGAAACAGATGGAAGAACAAAGAATAATTTGACGAATCCAGATTTTCACTACACATTTTTTATTGCTATATTG